TGACAGAATACGTCTGCCTTAGCATTTGTTACTATGGCACCAAAGCCGTAGCTCCACTGTGCGTCGAGTATTTGAGATCTAAAAGTCATCGATTATTCATACATTTTTTGTTCAAAATCAAAAGTGTCGGCCAATAAAAAGAAAAGTGCTGTGTTCAGACAGAATACGTCCGCCTTAGCATTTGTTACTATGGCACCAAAGCTGTAGCACCACTATGCGTCGAGTATTTGAGATCTAAAATTCATCGACGATTCATACATTTTTTGTTCAAAATCAAAAGTGTCGGCCAATAACAAAAAGTGCTGTCTTCTGACAGAATACGTCCGCCTTAGCATTTGTTACTATGGCACCAAAGCTGTAGCACCACTGTGTGTCGAGTATTTGAGATCTAAAATTCATCGACGATTCATACATTTTTTGTTCAAAATCAAAAACTAACAAGCGAAGTGCTTGTAAAAATGGTACGCATATCTTTTTTGCGACTAGGTTTCTTAGAGCATTATACCATTTTGGAATCTTGGATAGTTGCGTCAACTTTATAAAAAACTTGCCGCAGTAGTGTTCATACTTTTTTTTTACAAAACGATGAGTCAAAGTGGAGTGAAAGTAAAAATCGTTGAAAATTTTAAGGAAATAACATATTTTGATTAACTTTTGTGTAAAAACTGCAAGGATTCTGGGGGTTTTAAGAGTTGGGGTGAACAGCAGCACTACTTAAGTTGTCGATATAAACAGAAAAACAGGAATATTTGAAAAATTGTGGTCGTGGTAATGTAAAATATCATAAGGGGTGTCAATTTTCGTCGAATTTCATAATTTATTGTGTAAGTAAAAAAATAATTGAGATAGATTTTTTTCCTTATTTTTCCTAAAGTAGTCATGACTATGTCCGTCCTGCGGCGTCGGCTTATCCTTGAATTTTGGGACACGTTGTATATGTTACGGTAAATGTGATAATTAATGTGAAAATTACGAATAATCGCCGGTTATTATGAATAATTACCTCATGATTTGGTAAAAGAAAAGTAATATTACGCAAGAAACATTCCAAAGTCATTATGCGAAATTATATTAGCTAATATATTATTATGATATAAAAACGTTCAAAATGTGTGGCTGTACACGAGCACCGTACACGAGCCGGTGTTCTCTTTTATGATATTTGTTAGTATTAAGGTTGCATTATTAAGTAATCACTGATAAATGTGATTAATTTATCACTTTTACCTCGACTGTCGGTAATTATTCATAATAACCGGCGATTATTCATAATTTTCAATTTATCACATTTACCGTAACATACCTATATAATTTGTTAGGGGTCCGTACCCAAAGGGTAAAAAAACCGGCCAAGTGCGTGTCGTGCCACGCGCAGTGTAGGGTTTAGTTGTCCTTCGTTACCACAATATACCTATTTCAGAAGCAAGCAATTACTTCATCTAAAGTCACTTTTAATATTTTCTTCTAAGGAATTTTTATTAGGTATGAAATTTTATAAAACGACTATTACTCTTAAACTAAGTCATCTATTTTATTTAACCTCTATAGTTTTCCTTGAAAGTTCATAAAAAGTAGGCTATTATCATGATTTTTTTCAGATTTTTCAAGCCAAATGTTTAGTTTTTAGAGGGGGGGGGACGATATTAAAAGTGACTTTAGATGATTTATTGCTTCTGAAATTATTATAATATTGTGGTAACGACGGACAACTGCGGAACCCTACACTGCGCGTGGCACGACACGCACTTGGCTAATTTTGTGGCTATAGTAAGTATAGGTACAAACGGCCCAGTGGCGGCGTAGCATGGGTTGGCACCCGGGGCGATGACCAATCCTCCCCCCCCCCCGTTATAAGTCCTAAGGCACCCCCTGGTACCCCCCAGGATTTTGGGGGTTACCTACCGATTCGAAGATGACAATCGCAAACCGTCTACACCGCAAATTTGCCATGCAGATGTGCCAGTGAGTACTAATCTGCGCGACTTGTGTCACCCCCTGATGCTTGGCACCCGGGGCGGACCGCCCGGGCGCCCCCACCCCGCTGCCCGCTAAGTTCGAGGCTGAGGCCTTACGCCGCTACTGAAACGGCCACACTGTTAACTATCCATTTCCGTTTTCGCTCTCGCTCCAATCAAATGGCGATTCTTTGCGATAGAACGAGATGACATGACTGGCAATGGGCAGTTAACACTGTTGCCAATAGTACCTACTCATTATAATTATTTTTTTAGGGGATTACAATGATTCCTGTTTAACAAATAAAGGTTGCCTGCAAACGGTAAACTTTACGAACTGTGCAATTAGCACTGGTACGTATTTTCACTCCTTTCTGTTTTTTCTTTAAATTATTAATTCCTTTGTTCTTAGAGCAAAGCTTAAGTACGTCCGTATTCACAAATTATATTACTATGAGGTCTCACATTGCGCGTGGACGGACAGGGTGACACACTAACCAATCATAGAGGTCTATTTAATGCTGTGCGTTCGATTTGCTGCTTCACTTAAGCAAGCATCGTTTGTGAAGACGGGCGTTAGAGTTCTTAGGTGCTATAGCACACGTCATGGTACTTTAGCATAGCTTAGATCAGTGGTTCTTAACCTTTCAGTCACGAGGGACCATTTTACCAAATTCCTGTCTCATTTCTTTTTTTTTTTTCAAAATCCTATGTCAAAGGGGAGGTCGATTTCTCGCCCACTGTGCGCTGTTTGCGTTGTGTCAACTCGACTCATCACGTCACGTCACTTGTTTATTACGATGTCTTCGAGGACCACTTGGAATGCCTCCAGGGACCACCGGTTAGGAACCACTGGCTTAGATAGGAACTTGGAGAAATAAACCATTCCAAGCTTATGGCGCAAGTACATAATTAAAATGAAGATATCAATTTTCTGACTTCACCATACCATTTATAAATGACCATGTTAACATGGGCTAGTGTCGACTCATATACTCATTTACCTAACACCCTGTATAGTGTAAAAAATACTTTTTTCTCTCGATAATAGGGTCATTTGGTTTGGCAACCCTCACACACTCTATAGTATGTGATGTGTGTGCTTTCTTTAAACCATTTTATATTAAAGCCCGGTCTGTGAGCACGTCGAATTTTGTCCAATGACCCCAAGCTACCCATCCTTATCGCTCGCGCGTAATTATATGTATTACTGTCGCGACTGTGCGACGGGCGCCTGCAGTGAGTGCGCGAGCGCGACAGCAACATAATTACGCGCGAGCGATAAGGATGGGTAGCTTGGGATTATTGGACAAAATTCTACGTGCTCGCAGACCAGACTATACCTATGTATTAAGTGTGATTAATTCCAGCACCAAATAATGATAATAATAATTCAGTAAAACCACTGCCATCAGAAGATGAACGACTATCAGATAAAAAAAAGGGTGAGTTTTGCATGCTATTATTCGAGCTATAAATAATAATTTAAGAACGAGCCCAAATTCGATGTAGTTAAGTCGTTTTATTCCGGAGTTCCTATGGCCACCTTCCAGTTCCATCATCAGATCAGCTCCATGTAATCATAATATTGCATGGTCATCCGAATTACATGACTGTGCCGAAAGTGGATTTTATTCAGCATTCAAGATTTCTCCTCATTGTATAATACTGTGATTCCTCCCATACAAATTTTGAGCCAGTACCATAATATTATATTTATGACGTCACGCGCATTGAGCGCGGGCAGGCCGCCGCCCGCACCTTTTAAAATTTAATATCTTGGAAACTTGACGTATCGAAATATTTCTTTCACGTGTATTTTTTATTTTTAACAGAGAATACAGAAAGCTAAAAAACAAAATCAGTGAACATTCTCCATTGAAACGCATACCGGCGCGTTTATTACAAATAGCTTTTGCCCGCGGCTTCATCCGCGTGAAATTTAGTTTGTCAGAGATTGTCATAAATTATAGCCTATGTTATTCTGGGTTATAAACAATAATACTGCAAAGTTTCATCGAAATCCGTTAAGCAGTTTTTGCGTGAAAGAGTAACAAACATCCAGACTTCCAAACTTTCACATTTGCCGCGGGAAAAAGCTAGTAGTTTCTAAAACTTATGATTTTTTATAGTTTCTAAAACTTATGATTTTTTATTTCAGTATACAGAATCGAAAAAAAATTAACTCGGAATGAATCTTTTTTAAACTATACAGAAGGCGATAACGTCGAGTTAGTGTGTGAAACTGTGAATTTTACAGGTCATAATATTATTAAGTGGCACCAGAAAAAGGGTATGTATCTTAGATTATTATCAGATACTTAATAATTGTACTCTTAAACTAACTAATCTATCTTAAAACCGGTATAGTTTTCCTTAAAAGTTCACGAGAAACAATCTATACTAATATTACCTATAAATGCGAAAGTAACTCTGTCTGTCTGTCTCTCTTTCATGCCTAAACCACTGGACCGATTTGATTAAATTTGGCATAGAACAGATATAGTTTCAGTCCCGGGAAAGGACATAGGATAGTTTTTATCCCAGTTTTTGAAACAGGGACGTGCGCGATAAAGTTTTTCTGTGACAGACAAAATTCCACGCGGGCGAAGCCGCGGGCGGAAAGCTAGTATAACATAATTCCAAAAAAATTGTTAGTTTTTAGAGGCTTGTTTATTATAACACGAAAAACTGTGGTTTATTTCTATTTTTTGGCAGCGCGCGTCCAACAGAAGCGCATATTCAATACATTTTTTGCAGCCGCATCCTAGCCCAGCTGAAGACTTTACATTTTTTACTTTACGTTTAATTGTAAGGCTTTTTTTACTTTACGTTTAATTGTAAGTCAGACTTGCTCACCAAGGGTTCCCCTTGGTGAGCAAGTCTGACTCACATTTGATCGGTTTTTGTTTCAGGCAATTATACAGTAATGAAGAGCACATCGACCTCAAATGCCGTTTCTGCATCAATAAATTTAAAGATCAGTCGATTTGATCACGGCACGACTATGCAATGTTTGGTGGAGGAATCCCCCAATAATTTGACCGTGGCTAGCACTGAAATCTTATCCTTATCAGTGCAAATAGATAAAAATAGAAGCTTCTGTAAGTTGTCAAGATATTTAATCTTAAGCTCAGCCAAACTAACGCGTGCAGTACGGCTAGCACGAAAAACTTTCGAGTTCGAATCGTTTGCGTATTCGAATCGCCATCAAAAGATTTAGTACGAAAACTACAACAGCGCCCTTGTGAACATGCGTAAAGTGAACTTAATATGAGAAATGGTTGCACGAAACTTATTTTGAGAATCAAAATTGTCACGTTATCGTTTAATTCGAAGGTTGAGTATCGAATTTTGTCGAATACGCAAACGATTCGAAGACGAAAGTTCAGCTTCTTGGCCGGATAGCCGGATATCCGGCGGCCGGATAGTTGGCCCATTGTCTCGTTGCATGTCGTGACGAGTTTAGCGCCGCACAGGTGCTTCGAACGCGATCAGTGGGTCTATTAGTAGACTAGACTAGTCACACTTTTCGAAAATCGAATCCGTCCGAATATAATGTCAGATTTTGCCACTTGTCTAGGGGGTAGATCAATTCGGGCGATTTCGGTTGCCATCTTGAGTGTGTGATTGAATAGCGAAAATTAAATTAGTTTACTTGCCTGCGTAATTTGACTGAACTGCATCATGTCATCAGCTCATCAGTGAAAAAAAGGCCGCTTTTTATTTGGCAATATCTCGACATTAACAGATATTTACTATTTATGTATTCGCAATTAAAGTGAATAGCCCAGAAAAAGATTTTAGTTTTTTGGAAGGCTTTAATATGGCTTTTTTGTAACATTTTTGACTTTAAATAAAAGCCGTCATTATTATAAGCCATTTTATTGACATTTACCTCAAAGATTAATGCATTTCATTTTATTAATAGGAAATTGTCGTAGTTTTTTTAATATCCGGTATCCGGCCGGATAGTGAGTTACTATCCGGTATCCGGCCGGATAGTAAATTTAGGCCGGATATCCGGCCTACCGGATAGTTACCGGATATCCGTTTCATCTCTAGTTATTTATGCTAGAGGTACAGATCGCGTGCATAGGCGAATTACAGAACGCGCGTCGATCGCCATCGCCGACGCAATCAGTGGTTATTAGATAGTGACAAGTGTGTGTGTGTATTGCCTTCAGGCTTCAGCCTAGGCGCAAACCACCGACTTTAAGTTGACTAAGAGTAGGCGCACACCTTTGATTTTTAGTTGGCCGATAGTTGTGCCCGATTTTAAATTGTATGAAGAATCGGCCAAATCGAATCGGCGTAGTGTGCGCACTCCCATACATGCCCATACTGATCAACTGCCCGACTAAAGTATCGGCCGACGAAAAATCAACGGTGTGCGCCTACTCTGATAGTTGGGCCCGATCCTAATTTGTATGACGAATCGGATACCAAATCGATGTAATGTGCGCACTTTCATACATCTCCATACTGATTAACAGCCCGACCCAACTATCGGTCAATAATAGTCGGTGGTCTGCGACTAGGCTTAGACCTTCACGGAGCGTAATACCTACTACAATACAGCCTTTTTTTTGCGCAGGAAAATACTTTGCGTATACCCGCCGCCTCCGGGGAAGCGACGGGTTATGTGGGACTTCCTTGTCGGATGGCAGCAATAGCGGCTGTCACCCGACAAGTATACCCACTAAAAACCTGCGGTGCACCCTCTGCGTTTTACTGGCACGACGTGGGGTCCTACAGATTCAGACCACGCCGTGCCGACGCATGGCCCAGCCTTTGCCGGGCCTCCCGCGCTAAAGAGGGGGTCTACCGGTACACTGGTAGACCCCCCAGACAGGGTGGGACCGTGCAATGTGGGTGATGGGCCCCCGGCCTAACACCCACTGGTCTCACCTAGGGAGGCGGAAGGAGGCGAACGAATCTCCTCCTTCTTCCCCCCGGCCGGCCGTCTGCGCCGGAGCGCGTGGGCTTCGGGATCTACTTCCCTAGCCCGTGCCGCGGTCTCCTTCTGCAGCATCACCTCTTCGCAGAAGGAGACCACTACAATACAGCCTTTCTGACATGATAATAACACAAAGCGTTAATTAAAAAAGATTAAAAAAACAGTTGATTAAACGTTTTTGGTCGTTCGCATAGCGATAGAGACAAGCGACCGACTGAGACCGAGACAAGAGATTGTGAAGGGACACATTCAAACAATACTTACTACGCATTATGTCATATTTTGTGACTAGATTTAAATACTATCTATCTACTATAGTCCGGTCGCCGAGCACGTAGAATTTCGTCCAATGACCCCAAGCTACCCACCGTTATCGCTCGCGCGTAATTATAAATGTATTGCTGTCGCGACTATGCAACGAGCGGCCGCAGTGAGTGTGCGAGCGCGACAGCAATATATTACGCGTGAGCGATAAAGCGATGAAATTCTACGTGCTCGGCGGCCGGGCTTTACTAATATTGTAATATTATAAAGCTGAAGATTTTGTTTGTTTGAACTACTGGTCCGATTTCCCTACAGCTAATAGAGGCGGAGCAGTAAAGAAAAACGGGAAATATTATTCAAACTGTTTTCACGCGAACGAAGTTACGGGCATAGCTAGTGACTTAAGGTCCTATGTTTCCTAGATGGGGCAGAGGGCGTCCACAACAGTCCTCCATCGCGTTCGCTCTTGAGCTTCGCGTTTGATCTCGCTCCAAGTCTTGCCGATCTTCTTTGCCTCGTCTGCCACAGTGCGCCGCCAAGTTTGCTTGGGGCGACCATGTTTGCGTTTTCCTTGGGGGTTCCAATCCAGAGCCTGCTAGTGATTAGTATTAAAATAATAATGGTAGTTAATATTATAATTATATTATTTCAGTTGAAGTGGCGAATGAGCTTGCTCTTTCCGAAGACAATAAAATAATCAATTATTATGACAACGTTGACTTGAAATGCACAGGAATGTTGTTTCGAAATTGGATTGAACTAACAAAAGGTACGTATATCGGCAGCGTAAAAAAGTGACATTAAATAATGTATGACGGATAAGACGGATTGTACAGCGCCCCTAGCGGAAACTATAAGAACTCCATTTAATTTTAATTTTTTAACGCAGTTGATATCGAACGCGTTTGATGTTAACTCACACTCATATTATATTTTATGCTGTTGAAAAGATAAGGCCTTAGGCTATATGGATCCTGAATGGTTGGATCCAGGATATCCTTACTACCACATACCTAACACCCTATAATATTTTCTTTTTTGCCCTTTTAAAATATTTTTCAGATGGTCAGGTTAAAAGAGATTTTAATGGAGAAGCAAAAATGGATGGCCGCATTTTAGAGTTGCCCCTAAGTGTCATAACTAAAGCGGGCAACAACACCAACACTGATTATGTGTGTATAGGCGGAAAATATAGGCTAAAAATGGAGTCACAAGAATATATTATTAATCGTGTAATTCAGGTAGCACACTTGGTTTATGATCAATTGATCATTGATGCCCCTTCAACAAATCCAGGTGAGATAAATATTAAATAAATACCCTCTCTTTTTCTGTTAAAAAAAAATCCAGTATGATCCATTACAAGAATGTTCACTCGTTACAAATCACCCTGTGTATTAATAATAATTAAATAAAAAAATAAAAAATTATACCTATAATAAAGTCGTCGGTCCACCTTGTGGGTGGACGTCCCACGGTGCGTTTCCCGGTACGCAGCCTCCACTCCAGAACCTTGCTGCATCAAAGGTAGCCGGTAGTCGCTGGATACAGGCCGCTACCATCTGGGAGATGTGGAAATCATTGGGGGAGATCTATGTTCAACAGTAGACGTCCTGTGGCTGAAATGATGATGATGATAAAGTCATGATAAAAGGGATGTTATGGATATCCGTAACGGTAACCGAAACTTTCCGATATCCGAAATAAAAAAAATATACAAACCGTAACCGATTCAAAACTTTCGGATAGTTTCAGATAGTTTTTTGTATAGCATTATAATAAAAAGGCATAACAGTCCGATTTGACTGACCAGTGTCAAAAATTACATTTACCTAGTTAGCTATAAAATGTATCTTTTTGCGAATTTCGCTATGGGAAGAGCGCTTGCTTATCCTAAAATACAGGGCTCTGCCCTAACTTAGGAAGCAAAGCTCAATGTTTTTAGAATCATAATATTTTGTAAGATACATTAATGTCTGTACTTAAACATTTGTTGCTTGTTTTTATATGCATGTACTTACTTTTGAATAAATAGATTTGTATTTGTATTTGTATTTATTTGTATTTACCTGTATAATGCCATCTAGTATCAATTTTAATTTTTTATTACTTTTTATTCGATGTAAAGTGTACGGCCCGTGTTGGACAAATATTGCAAATTGCATTCTAAAGCACAGATACCCGTAACCGTAACCGAAACTTTCGGATATCCGAAATAAAAAATATAACCGTAACCGAAACCGGTATAATATTATTCCTATATCCGTAACCGTATCTAACTACATAATTATCCATAACATCCCTAATGATGACCTTAACAATTTTTTTTTATTTAACAGTTGACACAACGGTAACAGTAAGCGCCGCAGCCGGTGTTGGCGTAGTATTGTTATTTTCAATAGTTATTTGGATGTATTGCAAGAGATCCAAGCCTCGACAGCCAGCTGCTCACGAGGTTGAGACCTATGTAAGTTAGTTAATTAATAAATTATTTAATGAGGGCTATCGTTTTAGCGCTCACTAGTTAGCGCCACTGTAGAGTAAGGTCCTGTCACTTGCTAGTAGCGAAGACAGTGGCACCAACTGGTGAGCGCGAAAGCGGTAGGAGGACTATCGCATTTGCACTCGTCAAGATGGCGCCACTGTAGAGTAAGGTCCTGTCAATCGCCAGGGGTGCCAACTCTTAAGTATAAAAACGATAGCCCTCATTGATCACCAACAAGGTTACATTGTAGCGTTCACAAGAATAACTTAAAAAAAAAAGGATTTGTAAACGCAGGAAGGTCGGAGAGAGTCTGTCGCATCTGAGCCCCGATTACGGTAATTTTTAACGTCAACAATCCAGACACGCTTCTCGATTCTGCGATACGATTGGTCGTTCAACAGCGCACGTCAGCTGTTTTGACCAATCGTATTGCAGAATCAGAAACGCGTCTGGATTGTAGACGTTAAAAGTTACCGTAATCGGGGCTCTGGTTGGCAGTGTTCACGCGTTTACATTTTTTTTTATAACACTTGACATTGTATAAACTAGTCATGCAACGAATACTACTTTTACGAATATTAAATCTACTATTCGACGAATACGACTACGAATATCTCTACATAGTCATGAAATACTCATAAATTGAATTCTTTTTATTACGGTTAGTGTTTTAGTAATTCAACAAACATTTTTTTCTGTTATTGTTACTTTCACTCACACACTCACTTTACTTTGTAATTAATCACAAAACAAAATAGGTAATACTTACACAATCGCCCTGCTATTGATTGTCAAATTTCGGAATCGGAAGAGAACTTACTTACTTACTAGTACTTTGTTACATACTGACCAGGGTTTTCCCGTCGTGTCGTTGTGGTTATAGTGTTCGGAACTTCGGAGACACGCGTGTGTGACAAAATTTCAAAAAAGTACCTATTCGTATTCGTAATTATTTCACCGAATGCGAATATTCGGTAAATGTCTAAGTACCTCCTATTCGGCGAATACGAATATTATAATAAACATATTCTTTTTTTGTGAAGGCTACCGCCAGAGTACAGTACGTGGAAGTCCAGCCAGTGCAATCGGGAGCAAGATTTTTCAATCGAAACGACACTCCTTACGCGCAGATCGTTGGTGTTTTGGAGCCCGTTTACAGTAGCAGATAAATATTCAGTGGCGGATACCAGCAGGCTGAGTAAGCTGAAGCCAAGGGCGGCAAATTTTAGGGCTATATTTCACCGGGACACCATGGCGGCGCAACCAGTCGCCGGCTACCAACAAAATGTATACAGCTCTCTATAGAGTTACTCACTGTCCGTTTGGTTGCGCAACCAATTTGGCGGCGCAACCAACTCGGACGCGTGCTCAGAATGTTACTGGTTGCGCCGCCACACTGGTCGCGCCACCACTAATTTCTATAGCGCTGTATGGTGTCTCACTCACTCGGCCGCCAGTCCGGCCGCCAGTGACGCCCCCACCTCATTGCATGCAGCACGTATCGCACTGTTATGTTTTATTTTTAACTGCTTATTTTAATATTTTAGTTGTTTGTTAATTGCATACCATGGGTAATTTCGATACAGAAAGGTTTATTATCGAAATTCAAAGTAGACCATCAATTTGGGATAATTCCTCATCAGATTATTCCGACAGAGTTTTAAAAAAGAAATATTGGGAGGAAGTTGTAGATTTGTTTGGAGAACTGTCCTTTTGAAGTTCCATTTTGATACTTCCTCAGTGTCGTGTGGCTCTGGTGCCTGTATGGTGTCTAGTTTGGTAGCTTACGGACACCACGGTGGCGCAACTGGTTGCGCCGCCATGGTGTCCCGGTGAAATATAGCCCTAAGGGGTGGCAGATTTAGTTCATAATTATTTTTTACATACACAAAGTACAAGTACGTACAGTACAGTACAAGTACGTATTTCCAATATTATTATTATCAATGTTCGCCAGGCCAGTCTAATAAGATCAACACCCCCCCCCCCAAGCCTACGGGCGGCAAATCTGTAAATCCGCCACTCTAAATACTTAGGTTAAGTTTTTAACCCTTAATTCGACGACGTGCGATATACTTCCCATTGAACGAAAATAAATCTCCGTAAAAAAATTGACCGTATATCTTGAACTCAATGTGTTNGTTGTTTTAATTTGTTTCACTTGGATATGATTTGTATTAGAAAGTGCTGTGAGTGTGACGCTTGAACGGAAGGAAGTCATCTAACCTAACCAACTGCGTATTTCTATACTGTGTAGCCGCGAGAGCTCTTTGGCGCGCTGTCTTCGGCGAAGTATTGCGCGCGCAGATTTTGACAGCGCGAAATACCTACTTTAGCAGAAATACCAAGCCTTAAGAGAAAAAAAGAGTTTTGTTTTGAATTATTTACATACAAAATATCATCGATATATACGTACTACGCATAACATTTCGTGATTTTGGCATTAAATAACACTCGCTATGTTGAACTTAACCATACTGCATCCGTACACCTTACTTTAGTGCGACTTAGACATTCTTTACAAGCGATCTAACGCTGTTGCAATAGTTTGGTTAGTTGACAGAAATCATTACTTCCAAAATGAAGCAAGAAGTTTTAGTAAATCTATCCTTGCGAAAAATCAATTTTTTGTTGTATTACAATCGATTATTGAAGTTATTGTAGGTAAGCTAAAACTTCTTGCTCCATTTTGGAAATAATTAATTTCGGTCAACTAACTAAACTACTGAAAAAGCGCTTAATCGCTTATAAATAATGTCGAAGTCGTACTAAAGTAAGGTGTACGGATGCAGTATGGTTAAGTTCAACATAGCGAGTGTTATTTAATGCCTAAATCGCGAAATCTTATACGTAGTAGGTATACATAGATGATATTTTGTATGTAAATAATTCAAAACAAAACTCTTTTTTTCTCTTAACTCCAGGGATAGATTTCAGTGCGCTTCGGTTTACAAATTAGTATTGGCCTGAGGAACAAAATGCACTATAGTTTCATTCTGGGCAGCACTTGGTCCAACTTCCATACATGGATTGGCACTGTCCTTTACTGAAAATAATGAAATTGGATGGAATTATATAAAATTGAATGGAATAAAATAAAATTGAATGGTAATTGACTGGAAAGGAATAAAAATTTCGACCGTAAGTTAGGTTTGCCGGTTAAGGTTTCGATAAGTTAGGTTAGGTTTTCGAATTATTCTGAAAATGAAATGGAATGGAATGTAATTGAATAGAATTAGTGGAATTTAATGAAATTGAACAAAATTGTCTGGAATAGAATTGAATGGAATTAACTTAAATCGAATGGATTTGAATAAAAGTGTATGGCATTGACTGGAAAGGAACTAAACTGAAACTGACTACTTTTTCGATGCCATCGTGTACAACAAATTTCGATAGATAGGTTAGGATAGGCTAGCTAAGGTTTTCGAAATTTGAAAATGAAATGCAATGCAATGGAATGGAATGGATGAAATAGAATGTAATTAATGGCATTAATTGGAATTAATGAATTTGAATGGAATTGACTTCAATTAGATGGAACTTAATGGAATTTAAAGAAATTGAATGCGATTGTATGGAATTCCAATTCCATTCAATTCCATATTTTCCAAATTCGAAAACCTAACTGGAAAACCTAACCTAACACAGCTATCGAAAACCTAAGTGGCAAACCATAGGTCGAAACTTTAAAAGAATGGAATTATAATAAAATAAAATGGAATAAATTAAAATTGAGTAGTATTTGACTGGAAAGGAACAAAAATTTCGACAGTAAGTTAGGTTTGCCGGTTAGTGCGATAGCTAGGATAGTTTGGTTTTAAAGTTAGGTTTTCAAATTTTCATCATCTACCAATAAAAATCATGCAATTCCATCCAATTCCATCCAATTCCATCCGACTCCATCCGACTCCATCCAACTCCATCCAACTCCATCCAACTCCATCCAACTCCATCCAACTCCATCCAACTCCATCCAACTCCATCCAACTCCATCCAACTCCATCCAACTCCATCCAACTCCATCCAACTCCATCCAACTCCATCCAACTCCATCCAACTCCATCCAACTCCATCCAACTCCATCCAACTCCATCCAACTCCATCCAACTCCANTAGGGAAGGGTACTCGCTGAAAATCAGCGTCGGGACTTTCACATAAGTCCCGAGTATCGCTGAGCGGGCGCCTTTTTGGCTCGGGATCTTTACTGGTCTTGCTGGATTATTTTACTGTTTTTTATTTATTTTTTTTCTTCTTCTTTATGTACTTTTTTACACTTGTATTTGTCATTTTTTGTCCCGTGCCAAATAAAGATTTTTATTATTATTATTATATAGCCTTATGGATTAGCATGCTGAAGTGGCAATGGGCAGGGCGCACATCACGCAGAACTGATGGCTGATGGCTACAACAAGGTTCTAGTATGGAGGCAACGTGCCGACAACCGCTGCGTAGGAGGTCCACTCACAAGGTGGACAGATGAACCCATAAAGGTAGCAGGAAGGCGCAGGATACAGAGTGACTATCAGATTGGCCGGTTGTTAGCCCACTTGCCAACCTGATAATCATTGGGGGAGGACAATGTTCATTAGTGGANGGATACCTGCAAAGTTACTTACAATGTATTTACTGTCAGAGAGTTTTGTTTTCGTTTTACGACACCCATAACTTGCATGTCCAGTATACTTCCCGTCGTCGAAATACTAGTAAAGTAACTGCTAAATACTATGTCCAGTATTCTTCCCGTTGCCAAATTGTTAGAAAATTAACTTTTGTGGGTTTTGATAATAATATTTTAGGGATCGACACATAAAATATATTCTGCCTCACTATGTACCGTTTTTCAGAGTATCAACTCTAAAAAACAAGCCTTAGTAGCATTGGTGCCGCCTAACACTACTCCTTTTCATATAGATACTGGTTTTTATGAGAAAATTGTTCTTCTCACCCTGCTTTTCCATCAGTTCTTGCATAGAGCACATGAATATAGACAGCTAAATCTTTAACTTTGTCTTACTCGAGGGAATAATGCCAGAGGCATGGACCAGAAGCGTTGTGGTACCTTTATTCAAGAAAGGGGATAACACCTTACTGAAGAATTATAGTCCCATCACGCTTCCGAGCCATATCTACAAGTTTTTATGCGAGGGTTATTACATGCCGGTGTCCGAGAAGTCTTTGTAACCATAAACCACATCCATACACTGCGGCAGGGTTATACAGAAGACCAAAGAGTATTACTTGCCATAACGCTTGGCGTACGTGGACTATGAGGAGGCTTTCGATTTGATTGAAGCTTGAGCAGTGCTGTAGTCTTTCCAGAGAGCTTCCGTATTGACCCTTGGTGCTGAAGTGCTTGCACAAAACGCCACCTTGATGGCGGTCCAAGTGCAGGAGAAGAAATCAGCAACAGGTCCAAGTGTGTTCCCAGTAATCACATAATGGTACCTACTGAAAGGTTACTTCTCACAATAAGCCCTCTCTATATCACAGCATGACATGGAGAGGGCTGTGCTTGGTGTTTCTGTGCGACATCTAATGAGAAGATCCGTAAAAGAACTAAAATCACTGATATAGCCTTATGGATTAGCATGCTGAAGTGGCAATGGGCAGGGCGCACATCACGCAGAACTGATGGCTGATGGCTACAGCAAGGTTCTAGTATGGAGGCAACGTGCCGACAACCGCTGCGTAGGAGGTCCACTCACAAGGTGGACAGATGAACCCATAAAGGTAGCAGGAAGGCGCAGGATACAGAGTGACTATCAGATTGGCCGGTTGTTAGCCCACTTGCCAACCTGATAATCATTGGGGGAGGACAATGTTCATTAGTGGACGTCATAAAGCTGAAATTATGATGATGATAATTAATATTTTATTACGGAACCACTTGTTTCTTTTTTCTGTCTCTTCGACAACGGGAAGTATACTGGACATGGTTGGAGAGCGTCACTTTCTTATGAACTTGGCAACGTCCAGTATACTAGACATAGGTTTTTCAGGAAACTGAAATAGTCAGATTTTTTTGGGTATTTTTTCTGGGGTCCTAGACAGGCTAAGAAACGAAATCAGTAACTGTTTTATAAATTTAACTAAAAAAAAATTCCGTCGAATGAAGGGTTAAGCAATCCAGTCACTTTTTATTGTAATAAAATTATACCTAACTAGTACCTAGGACATTAAAACTAATAAGCAAATATTGTATAAGGGTGCTAGAACGGATATAAGTACATACTGATTATTTATTAATTTTCATATTTTATTATCTTTATTTTACTAAGTATTTTATGTGTGTTAGTGTGCGCTTAACAACATTTTTCAAGACTTATACTTTTAACGAATGCGTTTATTTTCTGAAATTAAGTTATAATTTAAGATTTTATAATGCTTTAATTATCTAGTATCTAACCACACTGTTTACTGTTACCATGTAATATTTTGTAAATACAAACGTATCTACATACCTAATTAATAGAGTACCTACTTAATAATAAAGTTGTTGTTTACTTTCTTTAATCATACTAGCAATACCTACAGAATAATACTGAGGTGAGGAACTCAAAGGGTTGAGTGTGAGTTTTTTTCAAACGCGCTCACTACTTAGTGAGCGCGCCAAAAAATGACATTAAAATGTATGACGTACTGTACAGCGCCCCTAGCGGGAAACTTTCAAAAACTAAAATTTTCATACAAATTTTAAACGCGCTCACTAGAAACTCACACCAAAACTCACACTCAGCCCACAATGTAGTGACGAAGTTTGATGTAAACTCACACTAAGCCCTCTGTTTATTAATTTTTACCGTTAATAAAGTATTGAATTATAAATTATTATGCGTTGATGTTTTCTTTTCAACAATTTTTTATCCTTTAATTCCGAGGTGATTTCAAAGAGGATGGACAGCATATCCCCACACGCTGGGTGTCAAAACAGGGGATGTACACCGCGGGGTTATTAATTTATTCATTTATTGACAAGTCTCTTAACATTTTATGAGTCCTTTTTCAAGCGTAATATCACTAGATATTTTCGGAGTATCAGTTACAGAACACTAGCACATCACTAACATCATAGACTATAGAGGCGATGTGTCAAAAAAAGGTTGATGGCTTCCGTTTTGGCGCACGCGGAAGTGGAATTGCTTGTTTCCTTTTCCTATAATTTTCAAATTATTCATCATCAAGGGAAAAAGTTTTATCAGGGGTGAATTGTTGTATTTTTGTTTGACGCAACACGTACAAAGTTGTGTTTGGTGTTGTTGGCTTTACGAAGATGGAAGTGACGGATTTTAGTGATATATTGAGTGTCAGAACGATAAAAATGGAAAATAGTTTTGATGAAGCAACAGGGGTGGAATCTTCTGATCCGCTGATGGTTCCTCATTTTGTCACGGAAAGTGATTTAGGTAAGTCCTAGCAGCTTTATGAACGTGACGCCACCTTACGTTTCTTGCTCTGGCCCTTAGCTCTGGCCTATCAAATAACATTGGGAGTATTACTTCCTTGTCTTTGACCTTCTCACAATGCAAATTGGTATTGTTATTGTTTTTCGAATAATTTTTAATGTCTCGAGTCTTCAAATGATGATGATGATGAGATGCTCTGTACCACAGTTCTGTACTAAGATTTTTGATGAGGTTTACAAATAAAAACAATGCCAACCACTGAAATTAAGAAAGATACTGTTGTATTTTTGCTTTTATTTAGGTTTTGTAGAAAAGTAAGTACTATACAACATTGACCATTTTCAGAATATTCACGATTTGTAATAGCTAGTTTGTTCCGGCGTTTCTTCTTAGCACTTGCCACATGTTTGTCTTGAAGCGCTGGTAGGGCCCAAAAGATAAGGAGAAGGAGACATGAAAGTGCCCCATAAGGGCTACCTTTTATTTTTTTTATCCCAACTAATATTATAAATGCGAAAGTAACTCTGTCTGTCTGTCTGTTACGCTTTCCCGCTTAAACCTCGCAACCGATTTTGATGAAATTTGGCATAGAGATAGTTTGAGTCCCGGGAAAGAACATAGGATAGTTTTTATCCCGGTTTTTGAAACAGGGACGCGCGCGATAAAGTTTTTCTGTGACAGACAAAATTCCACGCGGGCGAAGCCGCGGGCGGAAAACTATTATTTAATATATTTTGACGTTCATAAGTGCCACTTAGGGTCTAAACTGCATAAATATTTTTGATTTTAGATTTTAGTGGAACCCTGAGATCGCCGGTGTTTGTTGTATGGAGTTTACCTTATGAACGTCAAAATATAGTTAATATAAAAAAAGAAAAGGTAGCCCTTAGGGGGCACTTTTCATGTCTCCTTATCTTTTGGGCCCTACCAGCGCTTCGAGACAAACATATTTTTGACGACAGATTTTTGACGTTTGTTAAAGTAAAAGTAAGATCGTACAACTCAGCCTTAGCAAATCAAATCAAATCAAATCATTTATTGCATTGCATTAGAAGTATCGATTTTATCCCAAAAAAGTAGTAGAGTATAAAACTATACTCAAAAAGATGCTTTTACAGATTAATCACAAAAAATAGTTTGCTTAAATATCCATAATGAAATTACAGGTTTAATGCAGTCCGGGGCTGAAATGCTACAGACACCGTTGGCAGTGTTCGACACAGCTGACGATGATGATACCATGCAGAGTAACGAATCCAGCGGTAAGACATGTTTACGACCAGGGTTCGAAAGGATAATTATCTTGATAATAACAGATGGATAATTATCAGTTGATAATAACAAAAAAATGCGCTCGTAAAAGTGAACTGTATTCGAAGTTTTCAAACTCGTGTGGACTGTGGTGGACGTTATTTAACATAGATAGTTCTAAAGGTTCTATATTGGCTCACATAAAATTCTTTATTCTATTCTTTGTCTTACTACCGATTTGTGTTCATAATAATCTCTCTTCATAATTTTATTTTTCATACTTTTTTTATTCATACATTTTTATTACTACCATCGGAGCTCATAACATTTAGTAATCATAATTTTTTTATCAATACTGTTACTACTAAGAACCATTTAAAATACATAATTTTTATTTTCAGATCTTTTTTCTTCATATCATTCATTGATCATATTGTTTTAATTAATAATGTTGTTACTAAGAACATACTTCAACTCATAATGTTGTTGTTCAGAATAATTTACTTTATAACAGACATACTCGTATCTTTAAAAAAATCATATATAATTTAATAGAGTAGATAAGCATGCAGAGCATGCAGCATGAAAGCAAGCATGCAGCATGCATTGGTATCTCCTCGTCTCCGGCGCTGCGGGATGTGCAGCCCTTCCGCCCTTGCGTAACGAGGCTCAGGCACCCACGCTTGCTTCCGCAGCTTCGGCTTTTTGGATCGCCATCGGCGCCTTCGGCGCCTCGGCGACCAGCCTCAGCCGCTCCAGCTCACCCGGGCGCCTGAGCCTCGTTACAGCGGGCGAGGGCTGCCCTCCCTCCGCGCCTCCGGCTTTTAAATTACACTCTAGGGGTAGGGCAGACAAGACTACGTGGAGTCGGTTTTGCAGCGATTCGTTTCTGTCACGTTAGTTTTGTGGCACAAAATATTGCCTGTTTTGGACCATTTCAAATTAATTTAATGTTAAAATACGATTTAATACGAATATAGACATCATGATTTTCAATAATATGGATAAATACACTTATGAGTAATAAATTTATGAAAACAAATATTAGGATACATCACATTTATGAATATTATACTTATTTATTCGAATGATTATGAGTTTCGATCATTAGAAGTTCAAAATATATGAAAACAAATATTAGTAAAAACTAAGTGTATGATTAGTGATATTATGAATATCAATGATTATGTTTTTAAATATGTAGGTTTTAAATTTTTTATGAAGAATGATCATTATGGTATCAAATTGTATGAGAAATATTTTCGGACCTCCAATGATAGGAATTGAAAAGTTATGTAAGAAAATGCGCTACCAGTTCTAAAACCTATCTATTTAGCCCCATAACGATCACTCGTTAACTAGCGTCAAAATATTTATCTATTTGCCACAACGCTTTATGCGACTAGCGACCAAGAACATAACGCAACATTCTCAATGTAACAAACATCAGAATTTCTTATGAAACAATATGACAAATGTATCTTACACTGTTAATAATTATCCGATAATTATCACGAAACGTAATTATCTTGATAATTTCGAACCCTGTTTACGACATCTATTCCTTTTCGGATTGTAAAGAAAAGCAAAAAGAGGTTATAAAATATTAATTTTACAATAGGGATGATGACTGGGTAATGAAATCGAAATTCTATTTAGTTCGTCAGACAGATAATAAAAAAAATTCTGACATATTTTTTAATTTTTTTCATAATCGAATTATTATAGTATTAATATAATATGTATTGAGTTGAAATGTCACGTGACGTCACTTTTCAGTAAAAAATCTACTCAAGCGTGCCGTAACGAGCCATTTTAACTCGATGTAGCACTGTTATTATTTGATTATGAAAGAAAATAAAAAATATGAGTAATATTTTCTAATTATCTGTCTGATGGACAAATAATTGAAATTTTGTCATCTAGCCTATTGAGTATACAAGTAACAAATATTAAAAGACATTAAGATTTAGACACCGCCTTTATCCGAAACTTTTGAATCGGTTTCGGTTACGGATATTTTTTTATTTCGGATATCCGAAAGTTTCGGTTATGGTCACGGATCTCCATAACATCAACATCCCTGATTTAGACTCCGCCTTTATCCGAACTTTTGTATCGGTTACGGATATTTTTTATTTCGGATATCCGAAAGTTTCGGTTACCTGATTATTATGTATTATTTACAGAAGAGGTGATAATCCAACTGATGGACATCCGCACACGTCTATCAAAGCTGAGAGCGATGTTAGAAGCCAGGCTGGGCGCTGACTTGGCCGACTATACGTTCTGGTTGCAGGACGCTAAGATGGTGGGTATATATAACGCAACTGCAACGAAACTGCAACTTTCTGATGATTCTTATGAATGAAACTGAAAGTTTCAAACTGGTCGCGTCATGTGTGGTCTCTCAACGGACGCTATGGCAGAAACTTAGATGCAACTCAAAAGTAACTAGCAGTTGTAGTTTCGTTGCATTTGCGTTTCACCGTCTGTTCTGGGCCTTACACATAACTAATTATTTGGAAATTATCAATAATGTGTCTGCCAAATAAATACCAAGCTCAAGTAACGTACCAAAATCGGGCACCAACTCCAAAAATATACCCATAGATGTGCAAAGTAAATTGTTCAAGGAAATATTAATTTACTAGCGGCCGCCCGCGACTTCGTAAGCGTGGATCCCGTTTTACCGCTTTAGGGAATTTAGTCTTAGTGAGCACCTACGTTCTGAAAGGAACCCCCATGCAAAATTTGAGACTCCTAGCACTTGTAGTTTCTGAGATTTCGTGATGAGTGAGTCAGTCAGTGCCCCTTCGCTTTTAAAGCCCGGTCTGTGAGCACGTAGAATTTTGTCCAATGACCCCAAGCTACCCATCCTTATCGCTCGCGCGTAATTATATTGCTGTCGCGACTGTGCGACGCGCGCCCGCAGTGAGTGTGCGAGCGCGACAGCAACATAATTACGAGCGAGCGATAAGGATGGATAGCTTGGGGTCATTGGACAAAATTCTACGTGCTCGCTGACCAGACTATACAGGGTGTTAGACGTTAGGTAAATGGGTATATTAGCCGACACTAGCCCATGTTAACATGAGCATATAAATGGTATGGTGAAGTCAGAAATTTGATATCATCATTTTTTTTTTAATTTTCATACAAAATAAATTTTATTAAATCCGATTTGTATGAAAATAAAAATAATTAAAATGAAGATATCAATTTTCTGACTTCACCATACCATTTTTATGCTTATGTTAACATGGGCTAGTGTCGGCTCATATAACTATTTACCTAACACCCTGTATAATATTTCTTTCTTTCTCCAACAGCTGGAAAACCACAAGACCCTCGTCGAGCAGTGCATTAGAGGCGAGGGAGTTGTACAGGTCAACATTCAGATCAGCGCTACGGAGAGAAAGATCAATATCCTGGACGTCCTCAAGCCTGACGAGGAGATGACGCGCCCGACGCCCGACTGTGAGTACGCTGGGTGGACCGACGACCTCGTGAAGGTAGCGGGAAGGCGCTTGAACCAGATGAGGAGATTACGCGCCCGCGGGTCGAATGGTGAGTACACTAGGTGGACCGACGACCTCGTGAAGGTAGCGGGAAGGCGCTGGATGCAGCTGAAACATCATCATCATTACAGCCACAAAGATAGAGTACACTAGGTGGACCGACGACTTCGTGAAGGTGGCAGGACGGCGCTGGAACCAGATGAGGAAATTACGCGCCCGCGGGTCGACTGGTGAGTACACTAGGTGGACCGACGACTTCGTGAAGGTATCTTGAAGGCGCTGGATGTAGCTGAAACCAACTCGGAAGGACGCACGACAAGCTAGTGGCAGTAACACTCAACAGATGGCGGTGACACATGATTGACTATGGCACACACCACCGCGCCTACAATCCTGCATCGCGGTGACGAAGTTTTTTACCCTGCTTAGTATAAATAGAAAGACCGAGGTGGTAACTGCAGGAAGAATTTACATGTAAGCTTCCTTAATGTGGTTGAACATCAAATCCCATGACATTCTTCATCCTGTCATAGACTCACCATAGATGCAGGTCGCCCGACTGTGAGTACGCTAGGTGGACCGACGACCTTATGAAGGTAGCTTGAAGGCGCTGGATGTAGCTGAAACCAGAGGAAGGGAGAAGTCGCGACCGCCGGCCCGACTGTGAGTACGCTAGGCGGACCTACGACCTCGTCAAGGTAGCAGAAGGCGCTGGATGCAGCTGAAACCTGTTGAGGAGATGACGCGCCCGATGTCCGACTGTGAGTACACTAGGCGGACCGACGACCTCGTGAAGAGAGAAAGCAGGAAGGCGCAGGATGCAGCTGAAACCTGATGAATAGATGACGCGCCCGACGCCCGACTGTGAGTACACTAGGCGGACCGACGACCTCGTGAAGAGAGAAAGCAGGAAGGCGCTGGATGCAGCTGGAAACTAAATTGAAGAGATGCCGCGCTCGAGGTTGACTGTGAGAGTACACTAGGTGGACCGACGACCTCCTGAAGGTAGCGGGAAGGCGCTGGATGCAGGTGAAACCAACTCGGAAGGACGCACTACAAGCTGTTGGCAGTAACCCTCAACAGATGGCGTTGACACATGATTGATTAGCACACTCCACCGCGCCTACAATCCTGCATCGCGGTGACGAAGTTTTTTACCCTGCTTAGTATAAATAGAAAGACCAGGATGGTACTGCAGGAAGAATTAACATGTAAGCTTCCTTAATGTGGTTGAACATCAAATCCCATGACATTCTTCATCCTGTCATAGACTCACCATAGATGCAGGTCGCCCGACTGTGGAGTACGTTAGGCGGACCGACGACCTTATGAAAGTAGCTTGAAGGCGCTGGATGTAGCTGAAACCAGAGGAGCAGAAGTCGCGACCGCCGCCCGACTGTGAGTACGCTAGGCGGACCGACGACCTCGTGAAGGTAGCAGGAAGGCGCTGGATGCAGCTGAAACCTGATGAATAGATGACGCGACCGACGCCTGACTGTGAGTACACTAGGCGGACCGACGACTTCGTAAAAGTAGCAGAAGGCGCTGGAACCAGATGAGGAGATAACGCGCCCGCGGGTCGACTGGTGAGTACACTAGGTATACCGACGACCTCGTGAAGGCAGCTTGAAGGCGCTGGAAGCAAATGAGGAAATGACGCGCCCGGTGTGTGTACACTAGGTGGACCGACGACCTCCTGAATATAGCGACTGGAAGCAAATGCGGAGATGACGCGCCCGATTGTGTGTACACTAGACGGACCGACGACCTCGTGAAGGTAGCTTGAAGATGCTGGATGCAGGCCGCTGCCAACCGGGCGATGTGGAAGTCATTGGGGGAGGCCTATGTTCAGCAGTGGACGTCCTGTGGCTGAAATGATGATGATGAAACACTTAAACGTTTCTTTCTTCTGTCATTTATCGAAGAAGGCTTTAGGCTATACAACATCATCCTACAGCCAATAGAGGCGGAGCAGTAAAGAAATATGTTTCAAAAACGGGTTTAACAATCAAACTATTTTCACGCGTACGAAGTCGGGAGAAAGAATTATTTTTTAGATACGTCAATTAGTTTCCAAGATATTTAATTTTAAATGTGCGGGCGGGCGGCCGGCCCTCGCTCCATGCCCGTGACGTCATAGTACAATACTCGCAGTCTTGTCGACTACGCGGAGCGATAGAAAATTACGTCACACACGGTCACGTGACACGTTATTTTTGCACACCCAAAGATGTGTTTGGTGCAGGCCGCTACCAATCGATCAACATGGAAAGCATTAGGGGAGGCCTATGTTCAGCAGTGGACGTCCTATGGCTGAAATGATGATGATGATGATGAAAGATGTGTTGTGAACTCTTTGGTAACTATTTGACGCTGGCTTTCTTTTTATATTCCCTCTCGGTCCCACCGCTGCAACTCCTGTGGAGCCAGGATCTACAGCTTGACCGCCAATAACCCAACCAGTGAAGCAACTGTGAAACAACCGCCTCTGTGGTCTAGTGGTAAGACCACCTGCTTTAGACACAGAGGTCCCGGGTTCGATTCCCAGTGGGGGCAGATTTTTCTGTTCGGCTTGGTTGGTGGTAGGGCTTGTTCTAAGTCCGCCTGGCTAGCTACCACCATCTTACCTAAGTCTGTCGCCATAACAACTATGTTAACAGCATTGTTGTGTTCCGGCAGTTAGAGGTAAGATAGCCAGTTCCTCCGTGGTTGAGGATTCCGGGTGTAGCTCGCTTCCACCTTCGGCCTGATCGTCACTTACCATCAGGTGAGATACAGGCCAAGAGCTTCCTGGTTGTGGATAAAAAAAAAATTACTACTTTCAGACCCAGAAGACGAAGAAGAAGACGAAGAATGTCTTCCTCAGACGGAAGACGAAGGTGCCGTGGATATGGAGGCGGTCAGCGGTCAAACTGAGTCCACAGTCAAGTGGGTGGTCGACGCACAGTTCAAGCACGACCACAGGGTCAAGATACCCGACGACCCGCGGCTGTGGTGAGTCTGTGACAAGTTTTGTTACCTCTATGAGATACAATTCACTCAATACACCACTCATAACACTACACACAAATTCACTCAATACACCACAAACACACTAACTAAGAATGTATGTTAATACTTTTGGAAGAGCGGTAACCTCCTACTACAGGTATTCTTATACTTAAAAGGATGGTTACCAAAATACGAGGGCTGCACTAAAAGTATCGGGAATGGAATATTTCCACTGTTCCAGTCATATTAAAATCTATTTAATTGCAAAGTCCAGGGTTTTAAAAATCGTATACCATTTATTTATTTAAAAAAAGATTCTCGGTCGTATCACAAGGTCTTGTCAAACTTGTTTAGTCGTTGAGAAAATGGAATTGACTCGAGAAAATTCAAGAGCGATGATTTATTATGACTTTTGAAGTGGTTTAACACAAAAACAGTGTGTTGACCGGATGATTTCTGCATTTGGTAATGAAGCCCCATCCAAAACCACAATTTATCGCTAGTTTCCTGAATTTCAACGTGGACGTGTCAAGCTCAGTGATGATCCCCGTCAAGGTCGTCCAAAAACTGCAGTCACCTAAGAAAACGTTGATGCTGTGCGTAAGCTGATTGAAGAAGATCGACATGTGATATACCGCGAAATTCAGGCAACTTTAGACATTGGCATGAGTCAAATACAAATAATCTTGCATGAACAATTAGGTGTAAAAAAGTTGTTTTCCCGATGGATACCGCATTCGCTCTGTGAAGAGCAAAAAGCGGCTCGCGTTACTTGGTGCGTCAGAACTCTCGGGAGATTACATGCAGGATCCTCAAATGCTGTATACAACATCGTATCAGGTGACGAATCATGGATATACGCGTACGAACCCGAAACAAAAAACCAGTCACGAGTTTGGGTGTTCGAAAATGAATTAAAGCCAACAAAAATTGTTCGTTCACGGAGTGTTGCAAAAAAAATGGTGGCCACGTTTGTCTCCAAAACCGGCCATGTTGCGACTATTCCTCTTGGGGGACAAAGAACGGTTAATGCAGATTAGTATGCTAGCATTTGTTTGCCACAGGTCGTTTCTGAACTCCGTAAAGAGAACTGCAACCGCCGCATCATCCTCCATCACGACAATGCGAGTTCTCACACCGCGCACTGAACAAAGGAGTTTTTAGAGCAAGAAAACATAGAATTATTAGTCCATCCGCCGTACAGCCTCGACCTAAGCCCTAATGATTTCTATACTTTCCCTTAAATAAAGAATAAATTGCGTGGTCAGAGATTTTCATCACCTGAAGAAGCTGTGGAAGCCTACAAAACGGCCATTTTGGAGACCCAAACTTCCGAATGCAATGGTTGCTTCAATGATTGGTTTCGTGTATGGAAAAATGTGTCAAATTTCGCGGAGAATACTTTAAAAAGCAATAAATACATTTTTAAATAGTAATGTTGTTTCACTTCCTTGATTCCCGAAATTTTCAGTGCCGCCCTCGTATCTTGTTAATCAACTTTATTTATAAAATAAAACATTTTCATTTTTTCATTTTCATGAGAATCATTGGCGTATCTAGGGTCAATTTTCAGCGGGAGCTGGCCCCATTCTAGGGTGGGCCTAGGCCCCAGTCTGGGAATGTAAGGTTTTTTGCCCCCACACGCAGTTCTAAAATGACTATAGAGTTATACAGGGTGTTAGGTAAATGGGTATATGAGCCGACACTAGCCCATGTTAACATGGGCATATAAATGGTATGGTGAAGTCAGAAATTTGATATCATTTTATTTTTTTACATTTTCTACAAAATAAATTTTATAAAATCCGATTTGTATGAAAATTAAAATGAAGATATCAATTTTCTGACTTCAACATACAATTTATATGCCCATGTTAACATGGGCTAGTGTCGGCTCATATACCCATTTACCTAACACCCTGTAGAGTCAAGATACCGGACGACCCGCGTCTATAATGAGTTTTGACAAGTGTTGTTACATCTTCAGTAAGCCGTCCTTATGCTGTGACGCCGGCCAGGATAGATCCGATTTATTATGTAACCTATTATTGGTACCGTTTGAAAGAGCTCGTGAAGCACTTTCAGGATCAGTAACCAGTTTTTCGATATCTTGTATAGTTTAGAAATAATCGAGTGAGATCACTTATCGTTTCCACCCTGTATGTATGTAGGTTAGTTTCTGAAAATAAATGTATTCCAATATTCCCAGGTCGGTGCAACACGTGAAGCTGTGGATCCAGTGGGCCGTCCGGCAGTTCAACCTGGCCGGCGTCCGGCTGTCCGACTGGGCGCTGTCCGGCGCGCGCCTGTGCAGCCTCAGCAACAAGGAGTTCAAGTGAGCACATGTAGATGCATAAAATATACAGTGCAGCGTGAAGCGTGGATACATTAGTGAAGCGTGGATGCAGATGTGGTTGCATATACAGTGCAGCGTGAAGCGTGGATGTAGATTTAATCGCATATACAGTCCAGCGTGAAGCGTGGATGCATTAGTGAAGCGTGGATGTAGATGTCGCATATACAGTGCAGCGTGAAGCGTGGATGTAGATTTAATCGCATATACAGTGCAGCGTGAAGCGTGGATGCATTAGTGAAGCGTGGATGCAGATGTAATTGGATATACAGTGCAGCGTGAATTCATACTGAGTGCAGATGTAGATTGTAGATGTCGCATATACAGTGCAGCGTGAAGCGTGGATGCATACAGTGAAGCGTGCAGTGTGGATGTAGATTTAGTCGCATATACAGTGAAAAGTGTATATACAGTGCCGCGTGAATCCGCGTAATGCAGATGTCGCATATACAATGAAGCGTGAAGGCATACAGTGAAGCGTGGATGCACAATTAGTCGCATATACAGTGAAGCGTGGATGTAGATGTCGCATATACAGTGCAGCGTGAAGAGTGGATGCATACAGTGAAGAATGGATGCAGATTTAGTCGCATATACAGTTAAGCGTGGAAGCAAATGTCACATAATTATACAGTGAAGCGTGAATGAATACAGTGAAGCGTTGATATTTTAAAATTATGATGTAAGAAAAAATTGTAAAAATGTAATTTAATTTTTTGTTGCAGAGAAAAAGTGCCATCTGATCCTGGAGACATATTTTGGACGCACTTCGAATTGCTAAGGAAATGTAAATTTATTGGTGAGCAAAGATTTATTAATCAAATAATTTAAACTCATAAAAACTGTTTCTACATTTTGGGAGTAAGTGTTTCTTTATTTGTAATTCATTTTTATTTCTACTAGTACAATTTTTTTAATCACTTCAAAAAAAGTTATAGGCCCTTTTCTTTCTATAATTTCAAAAAATAATTTCTGCAAACAAAATCATAAACTTATAATCGTTTAATGTTAGTGTAGATTAGTTAATAAATAATATATATTTCACAGCTGTCGTGCAGAGTGAAGAAAGCCCGGCGAACAAAGACCCTTTAGAAATAGACAATATGCAGCAGTCAGCCATAAAGAAAAAACCAAAGGTAAGGTAAATGCATGAGGTTCTTATCATAATAGCACGTCGGCCATGTCGAATACAGGCGCCTTAATGTCTTAAAAAAATGTTTTTTTTCTCAAAACCTATCAAAATAAAGGGATTTTTAAGTAGCTTACAAAAATGGTATGTTATTTAACTAAAAAGATTAAAATAAAATTATTCTTGATTATTATAAAATTATTATAAAAATTGATTAGAATAAAACAAGCCTTAGTGTTCCCAAAATAATGCACATTTGTGAACACTAAGGCTTCTATTTATCTTTTAAGTTCATTTTTACGCAGTTGGGTTTTTTGTTTTTAAAAGAAAGAACTGCTTTCTAAGATTTTTTTAAAGTTTATTCGTGTTGTTTAATATTAATCTTATTGTCTTCCAGCTAACAGCAACTCGCTCCGTGCCTCCAGCGGAAGACTTACCAGCGCGAGCCGGCAACAACGGCCAAGTGCAGCTGTGGCAGTTCCTATTAGAACTGCTCACCAGCGCTGAGCATTACGACGTCATACGCTGGCACGGTAAGAGCCCTGTGTAGTTAGATTAGTGCCCTGTAAGTTTCGTTGAGTGACCTCTTTAGTTAGATTATTGCCCTGTATGTTTCGACGAGTGACCTGTGTAGTTAGATTAGTGCCCTGTATAGTTTGATGACTGCCCTGTATGAGTTTGATGACTGCCCTGTATAAGTAACGTTATACGCTGGCACGGTGAGTTAGATTAGTGCCCTATATGTTTCGACGAGTGCCCTGTGTAGTTAGATTAGTTCCCTGTCTGCTTTGGTGAGTGCCCTGTCTACTGTGGTGATTGGCCTATATGAGTTTGATGACTGCCCTGTATAAGTAAGCGACAAAGCGACTCGGCCAAGTGCAGCTGTGGCAGTTCCTATTAGAACTGCTCACCAGCGCTGAGCATTACGACGTCATACGCTGGCACGGTGAGATAATTGCCCTGTTTCGAGATAATTGCCCTATTTCGAAGAGTGTCCTGTGTAGTTAGATTAGTGCCCTGTATGCAGGTCTTTACTTCGGCGAGTGCCCTGTATATTTCGGTGGTTGCCCTGTATAGTTAGACGAGTGCCCTGTGTAGTTGGATTAGTGTCCTGTATGTTTCGTCGAGTGACCTGTGTAGTTAGATTAGTTCCCTGTCTGCTTTGGCGAGTGCCCTGTCTACTATGGTGACTAATGGTGAGTGCCCTGTCTACTATGGTGACTAATGGTGGGTGCCCTGCCCAGATAACAATTTAAACTTGAATCTGACTTGCAGTAAGTTTGATGTATCAAAAATGAAGCTTTGTTTCAAATTTGCCATGGCAAGTATGTAAACTTGAGGCAAGTTTAAATCAAACTTTCTAGTTTCCGAGCGACAAACTTGCATTAATGTGTTTCTATAAAGTATATGCAAGTTTGCCTTAACAAACTTGCATTATGTCTGCTTCTATAAATTATATGTAAGTTTGCCTTAACAAACTTGCATTATGTCTGCTTCTATAAATCTGTCTACTATGGTGACTAATGGTGGGTGCCCTGTCTACTATGGTGACTAATGGTGGGTGCCCTGTCTACTATGGTGACTGCCCTGTATGAGTTTGATGACTGCCCTGTATAAGTTAGCGACAAAGCGACTCGGCCAAGTGCAGCTGTGGCAGTTCCTATTAGAACTGCTCACCAGCGCTGAGCATTACGACGTCATACGCTGGCACGGTGAGATAATTGCCCTGTCTGCTTTGGTGAGTGCCCTGTCCGCTTTGGTGAGTGCCCTGTCCGCTTTGGTGAGTGCCCTATATAGTTCGGTGGATGCCCTGTATAATTCGGTGGATGCCCTGTGTAGTTCGGTAGATGCCCTGTATAGTTCGGTGGATGCCATGTATAGTTTGGTGGATGCCTTATATAGTTCGGTGGATGCCCTGTATAGTTCGGTGGATGCCCTGTATAGTTCGGTGGATGCCCTGTATGAGTTCGATGCCTGCCCTGTATGAGTTTGATGACTGCCCTGTATGAGCTTGATGACTGCCCTGTACAGTTTGATGACTGCCCTGTACAGTTTGATGACTGCCCTGTACAGTTTGATGACTGCCCTGTATGTGCTTGATGACTGCCCTGTACAGTTTGATGACTGCCCTGTACAGTTTGATGACTGCCCTGTACAGTTTGATGACTGCCCTGTATGAGTTTGATGACTGCCCTGTATAAGCTGCCCTGTATGAGTTCGATGCCTGCCCTGTATGAGTTAGCGACAAAGCGACTCGGTCAAGTGCAGCTGTGGCAATTCCTATTAGAACTGCTGCCCAGCGCTGAGCATTACGACGTCATACGCTGGCACGGTAAGATAATTGCCCTCTTTCGATGAGTGCCCTGCATAGTTCGGTAGATGCCCTTTATAGTTCGGTGGATGCCCTATATAGTTCGGTGGATGCCCTGTATAGTTCGTTGGATACCCTGTATAGTTCGGTGGATGCCCTGTATAGTTCGTTGGATACCCTGTATAGTTCGTTGGATACCCTGTATAGTTCGGTGGATACCCTGTATAGTTCGGTGGATGCCCTGTATAGTTCGGTGGATGCCCTGTATAGTTCGGTGGTTGCCTTGTTTAGTTAGACGAGTGCCCTGTCTACTATGGTGACTAATGGTGAGTGCCCTGTCTACTATGGTGACTGCCCTGCATGAGTTTGATGTCTGCCCTGTATGAGTTTGATGACCACCCTGTATAAGTTAGCGACAAAACGACTCGCTCAACGCCTACAACAGAAGACTTACCAGCGCGAGCCGGCAACAACGGCCAAGTGCAGCTGTGGCAGTTCCTATTAGAACTGCTCACCAGCGCTGAGAATTACGACGTTATACGCTGGCACGGTGAGATAATTGCCCTGTCTGCTTTGGTGAGTGCCCTGTATAGTTCGGTAGATGCCCTGTATAGTTCGGTGGATGCCCTATATAGTTCCGTGGATGCCCTATATAGTTCGGTGGATGCCCTGTATAATTCGGTGGATGCCCTGTATAGTTAGACGAGTGCCATGTATGTTTCGACGAGTGACCTGTGTATTTAGATTAGTTCCCTGTCTACTGTGGTGAGTGCCCTGTATGAGTTTGATGACTGCCCTCTATAAGTAATGTCATACGCTGGGACGGTGAGTGAGATTAGTGGCCTAAATATTTCGACGAGTAATCTGTACATTTCGACGAGTGCCATATTTCGATGGATACCCTGCATATTTCGACGAATACCGTGCATATTTCTATGAATGCCCTGTATATTTCGACGAGCTCCCTGTATATTTCGACGAATGCTCTGTATATTTCGACGAATACCCTGTATATTTCTTTGGTAGCTCTGTATATTTCGCCGGACACCCTGTATATATCTTTGGTAGCTCTATATTTAGACATGCTCTGTATACAGGTACCGAAGGCGAATTCAAGTTATTAGAGCCTGAAAGAGTGGCGCGCCTATGGGGCGCTCGGAAGCACAAACCCGCCATGAACTATGAGAAGTTATCGCGCGCGTTGCGATACTACTACGACGGGGATATGATAGCCAAGGTGCCGGGGAAACGGTGAGTTATTCGTTTGGAATACTATACAGGGTGTTAGCTAAATGGGTATATGAGCCGACACACATGGGCGTATAAATGGTATGGTGAAGTCAGAAAATTAATATCTTCATTTTAATTATTTAAATTTTCATTTATAAAATTTATTTTGTATGAAAAATAAAAAATTAAAATGACACCCTGTATACTAGCTTTTGCCCGCGGCTTCACCCGAGTGAAATTTATTTTGTCACAGATCGTCATAAATTATAGCCTATATGTTATTCTGGGTTATAATCTACAGAGTGTTAGGTAAATGGGTATATGAGCCGACACTAGCCCATGTTAACATGGGCATATAAATGGTATGGTGAAGTCAGAAATTCGATATCATTTTATTTTTTTTAATTTTCATACAAAATAAATTTCTTAAAATCCGATTTGTATGAAAATTAAAATAATTAAAATGAAGATATCAATTTCCTGACTTCACCATACCATTTATATGACCATGTTAACATGGGCTAGTGTCGGCTCATATACCCATTTACCAACACCCTGTATACTAGCTTTTGCTCGCGGCCTCACCCGCGTGAAATTTATTTTGTCACAGATCGTAATTTTGTCAATGTGTTTTGCCAATAAACCATATATCTATCTATCTAAATTATTGCCTATATGTTATTCTGGGTTATAAACAATAATACTGTAAAGTTTCATCAAAATCCGTTCAGTAGTTTTTGCGTGAAAGAGTAACAAACATCCAGACGCGTGCGTTTTAGCATGGGAAGTTTTCTCAATGTTCACTGTCGGCCATCTTTCAGGTTCGTGTACAAATTCGTGTGCGACTTACGTCAGCTGGTCGGCTACGGCGCGGGCGAGCTGGCAGCGCTCGTGCGAGACCTCGCGCAGCGCGAGATGCTGCTCTCGTGCGGTGTGGACGGATAGTGTACACTTACCCTATCATGTGGACGGTAACTGTGCATTTACCCTATCATGTGGACGGTAACTGTGCATTTACCCTATCACGTGGACGGTGATTGTACACTTACCCTATTACGTGGACGGTGAGTGTACACTTACCCTATTATGTGGACGGTAGGTGTACACTTACCCTATTATATGGATGGTAGGTGTACACTTACTCTATTACGTGGACGGTGAGTGTACACTTACCCTACCATATGGATGGTAGGTGGACACTTACCCTACTGTAACTTTTGTGGCCACGCGGTTGGTGACTGTACACTTACCCTATCATGTGGAAACGTGAACGGTAGGTGTACATTTACCCTATTATGCGGACGGTAGGTGTACACTTATTCTACTATGTGGACGGTAGGTGTACACTTACCCTACCATGTGGACGGTAGGTGGACACTTACCTGACTGCTGCTCTAGTGGCCACGCGGAGCATGCTTGGACATTTACCCGATCTCAGTAAATTGACGACACACTCAAGTCTGTTTTCACCATCAATCCCTAATTTTTAAGTGACCCCTAAGATAACTCATAACAGGAATTTTGTTTTCATAGAGATCACTTAAAAATTAGGGATTGATGGTGAAAACGGACATCAGTCACCCATGTATCTCCCATTAAATACTCCCTAACCTACCCATTAAAAACCCAACCCACTCATTAAAGACCCACACCTACCCATTAAAAACCCAAATCCACTCATTAAAGACCCACACCTACCCATTAAAAACCCAAACCACTCATTAACCCTTCATTTGGCAGTGATGCTTTTAAGCAACAACCACTTTGAATATTTCTACAGCACCAAATAATAAGTTTTGTGCAAATAATTCGATTTTGTTACGAAGCTTAGTTCAGCAAAACACTAGTAAATCGGTCGTCGACTGAGTTTTGAGTGATTTCATATCCATATTTCTGTCAGACGCCAAGATGACGCGCAAAGAGATTAACAACGACGGAAGTTTTATGATTTTGTACTATTTTATCATCTCTAATTGTTTTTGTTTTGTCAAAATTTTATTAATTATAAATCAAACTAATCATATAAAGCAATATTTGGCGTAGAAACTGTGTTTTCTAATACATGACATGCTTCCGAACCTCGATGTTGCCTAGAAGCTACAGTGCCAAACATCTAACAAAATAGGTTTAGCTTTTTGTTAATACAAAAGAGTGTCATGTATTACATGAATAATGTTATAGAGACCTTTTGTACCCTTTGCACCACCGGCCTGCACCACTGGTGGTGCAAAGGGTATTTTTTAATCCCTTTTGCACCACCAATAGTGCTGCCCTACCATTAACTGTAAAACGATTATCTATAATCATATAATATTAATATTACAAAGAGGAAAGATTGATTGTTTGTTTGTACTGAATAGGCTCCGAAACTACTGGACAGATTTAGACAACATAACATAAAAATAAATAACAACCATTCATACCTACATATTTTATAACGAATAATATTCCTAAAGTACCAGGGCAACATAATCATAAAGGAGCTATATCAAATTCTTCTTGGTTGATCCGAGAAAAAAACATGTATAGCTCCTTTATGGTTATGTTGCCCTGGTACTTTATTCGTTGTATGTAGGATGTAGGTCCGGGGTATCGTGGGTTTGAAGTGAAATGTTTATAGGCACTTACACACACACAAATTAAAACTTTTAGGTAGGTTTGATTTATTTATAACAATTAAATTATTAAGTATTTTACAGTCTACTACTAGTTTTACAGTCGATGGTAGCACAGCACTATTTGTTGGTGGTGCAAGAGGGATTTAAAAATACCCTTTGCACCACCAGTGGTGCAGGCCGGTGGTGCAAAGGGTACAAAAGGTTATAGAGATGGTATAGTAGGTAATTACTTTTGATGCAATTATGGACCCTGTCGGGCACAGCATTTTAGGAGAGAGGAAGAATTTGCTGTCTGTCTCTGTGTTGTCTGTCTTCACACTTATACCGCTGAACTGATTTAAATGATAAACACATTTTTCTTGCGTTGAAGTCAACAACTATAGCAGATAACGGTAACATACCAGTTTCAGAAACTAAAGAGAAAATAAAAAGCCAACATTGGCTCGGCATATTGATCGTGAAGTATGATGACATGCGTCATCTATCAAATGTGGGAGAAAAAGGTCGTTGTCGACTTTGCGAAAATGCCCAAAAAAACGTTTAATGCATAAAATGTGAAATACGATTGATTTTTTTAAGATTTTCATATAAAAAAAATTATTCTATAATATATCTCAATGTTTTATTTAAGTACCCCTATTTGGCAATGTGGTAAATAAGCAACAATCGTTTTTCGCGAAAATACCAACCAAATATTTTTTTTACTATTTTTCTTAACTTTATTTGATAGTAAAAATTAGGTCTAAATAGATTTTATTGAAAAAATCAAACAATTTGTGTCTTGCCAAATGAAGGGTTAAAGACCCACACCTACCCATTAAAATTCCCAAACCCACTCATTAAAGACCCACACCTACCCATTAAAAACCCACACCTACCCATTAAAAACCCAAACCTACTCATTAAAGACCTACAACCGCCCATTAAAAACCCACGCCCCCATTAAAGCCCCACATCAACCCATTAAATCGCTATTGATCCATTTGATGAGCCCCAAATCACTCGCTCACCAACATTACAATACCACAATGTATACCCATACATTCCTATTATACCAGATACTAAAATAATATAATAAACATACGAATTTATAAAATTAAAATAAATTATGATGATTTTGAAGAAAACAAAATAAAAGTGCTATATGGGTAGAAGACAAAATAATATTATTTTGCTTTCGTTTTGAGAATATTTTTAAGTGATTTATGTTTAATATTCTGAAACATCTCTAATAAAATTGGACAATGATTTCTTTGCATGCACACTTCTTTTTTTTATAAAATTGTATTGATTTATGTTCTGTAATCGTATGATACGAACTATAGGTCCAGAGCTTTAACTCAGTCAGTTCTTCAGTCAGGGGTGACATTGACATATTATGACATATAGATGACCCACGCTGAACTGTCCCACCAAACTCAATGACAGGGGGGCGCTACCATCGTTCAACTATATGGTTTCCAACATGGCAAAAATCGGAACCAGCGATCCGGTATTGACGGTGGCGCCCCACTGTCAATGTCATGGATAGGACAGTTCAGTATTTTGGAACTATAGTAGGTATACAAATTTGAAGAAAATCTGAAGTCTCACTGACGTTTGACGTTAAAACACCCTCTCGTACCTCAGGCACTGACGTAGTTAAACCAGAGTAAATACTGCAACTCCCCGCTAATCCCCGCTAAATTTTGTCAGTGTGTGCGTGCGCGCCGCATACGTATATTGGCGCGCTCACATACAAACCGCGCTCGGTGCGTTTCTATGAAGATGACCTACTCATTTGTATTTACTCTGGTTAAACGCTAGTCCTATAGTTTTGAGATTGTTTTTGTCATGTTAAAACCTGAAAAATAAAATAAAAGCCTCGTTAAACAGACAGCCTAGATGGAAGTGAAATTTAGGAGTATAGTTCCAAAATACTGGATTGTCCTGTCGATGACATTGACAGTGGGGCGCCACCGTCAATACCGGATCGCTGGTTCAGATTTTTGCCATGTTGGAAACCATATAGTTGAACGATGGTAGCGCCCCCCTGTCATTGAGTTTGGCGGGACAGTTCAGCGTGGGTCATCTATACGTGTGGCATCTTTCATACATTTTTTACCACCACTTACTTATTTGACAACTCAATTGATTATTTTATCTTATAAATAATTAATTAGAGAGAATGGAGTGAAAAGTATTTAATCACATTTTCTGTCTGACGAAGCCTTTATACATTTCTTAAATTAACAAACCCCTGTATAAACAAAAAAATGTATAAATTACATTTAATAAATTAGTGTTGTAAATATTTAATGTCTCCTAGAGTAATTTTGGAAACGAAAAAATATTAGAATATTCTTTTTATAGCCTGACCAGGAACATAAAAACCCTGGCACAGAGGCGCTTCAATTGCATTTGATAGTGCAACACTGAGTACAGTCGTACATGTGTTAAATTAATAGGCTAAATTTATGTATCAGGATTCAGGATTACGGGCTAATTTGATATTTTCATAAATTAACGAACAATATTATTAAAGATAACCTGGTTTAAATAAATTAAATGAAACCATCAATCGAGCTAGTAGGATTTATTTTATTATTCATCAATAATCAAATTCAGAACATGAATATTCAACTGCAATGTCTGCTCATGAACGCTTCAAACTCGGTACTTCTTTCCCAATTCCATAAAATTCAAAACTTAGAAAGTGACAAAAAACTTTAAAATAGGTAGTTGAAACAGGTATTTTGTAGACAGCAGTTATGTATCTAGAAAACTGGACCGAAATTGAAAAATTTTACTCGACTTGGCGGTTGCACTACCGTGCCCCCAAATATTTTAGTTTTTCCTTGATTCATACACCAAACACTACTTATATTCCAAATTTGAAGCTTCTAGGTCTGCTAGAAGTGCCTTAGAGTTTTGATGATCGGTGAGTCAGTGAGTCAGTGAGTGACAAAATTAAGTAACTTTGACCCGTTATAATTCTTAAACTACTGGTTCAAATTGAATGAAATTTTAAATATACCGTGTCTTTACAATGCCTGCATAGCTAATGAAAATTCAGCCTTCTAGTTTTATCCACAACGAAGTTACAGGCAGTCGAAAATGGCCTGAATTGCTTCGAGAAAAGGATGGTACGGCCGTGCCGCTTTTTTGCTCGACTTGGTGGGGGCACTGCCGTGCCCCCAGATTAACACATCGTGAACCACTTTTCTTTCACGACTATAAAAATATTTTAGCAATTTAATTCACGAAATCAATTGCACACATTTAAAATAAAGTTTGTTTACACTTTGACAACAATAGACTGACATGCATGGTGACATGTCAATGAAGTTTTCAGTTACTGTTGCCATTAAAAGAAATTAGTACCATTAGTTTTCCGCAACATGGCGAGGGTTTTTATGTTCCTGGTCAGGCTATAAAAATGTACAGATATTTGAGCAAGCAGATTTTTGTTACTGAGGAAAGTAAATAGGAAATAGTAACCAAATCAGTTAATTCTAAAAATCTGCTAGCTTTAAAAGAAAATTGTCATAATATTCTGAACTTTGTTCTATTAGAATAAGGTCGAAATTGGAAGGTGCCTATGATTAGTAAAATGTTTTTCAATACGCATTTTAGTTGTAAGAACACCAACGTGATATTGTTTTTTCTTTAATTTTGTACAAATAAAGTTTATTATTGTTTAATAATTTCGTTTTTTTTATATCTACGTCAAATACGTTTTTTTAACTAAAATGTTTCTGTACATGAGTCCATAGAAAGTTCAGTACAAGTTCATAATTTTTTTATACCAATTTTTTTATTAAAAAAATAAATCCTCTTTTGAAGTTGAGTAAAAAACTATCGATATCCAAATAAAATAAATCTGTTAAAATGAAACCCCTTCATGTGTAAAAGCATATTTTATTTTAAATCTTAACCAATCTTTACATCGAGTAATTCACAGCTTTGGTCTATAGAGCGCGTTACAAATAAAAATATAATCTGATCTTCTTATAAATATACCTTCGACAATTTCAAGTAAGGAAAATATAACTTAGAAATAACGTGTCACTTAAAAAATACGAAATTCGTTTTTACAAAAACAAAATCCAAAAAAAACTTCAAAAAAATAAAAATAGAAACATTTTTTTTTAAGATGAAAGAGACAAAACTACATAACTTTAAAGCTAGTAGCACTCTGTCTCAAAAATACATACTTTTTTTTAACGAATTTCCCATTTTTCCAGTAACTTACACAAGAGACTCGTAACAAAATATTGAACGCACTCCTCTTAACAAACATCACCGGCATTGCTTACAAACTAGAAAATATTGTAATGAAATAAAGACATTAGAAAACTAGCGTTTGCCCTAATGTGCGTATCTTGTACTCAAGGTTTTTGGGGGCAAAAAATGCATATTTAACTTTCATAGAAAATATAAAGCTTGTGTTCACTATGGGAAATTATTTCCCACATTTTTTTACTGATATTTTGCGATGATGATCACAAGGAGAAGCTATCTCGGTAATTTTATTTATAAAGATAATAAAAAATAAAAACATTAATTTCTTCCAAGTTTTTTGTAATTTTTTTTGGAATTTTTAAAAAAAATTACAGGCTTATGAAAATGGTCACATTTTTTACAAATTAAAATTGTCAAATGACTTGACATATTACCCCTTAGTGACTACAAGCCATAATATCGCTATGGAAACTGCCAAAACTATGCATTTTAGAACCCCATTTTCACAAATCGCACGCACCCACATAAATATCGATATAGGCACATAAACAAAAAACAAATGCAAAAATTTCGGAAAGAAAAAGAGCACCAAAGATAATAGAGAAATAAATTGAGAGGTCTCAGTCAAAATATGTATGCCGAGACCTGACGACCCAACCTTTGATTTATAATTTCTTAATCTGTTAATTATATTAAAAACTTTCTGTTTTTCTTCCCGACGTCATAAAATGCGATTTTCATTCATTTTCTTTTTGTATTATTTTTCAGTCTTTTTTTATTTTTTTGCCTTTGTTCATTTTTTAAAATTAATAATTTTGTATTTTTATTAGTGCCAAAATGTCACATGCGATCTAAAATCATCTTTTTTGGCATTGCAAAAACTATCTTACAGGATTTATTAACCTTGTAATTAAAAATAAACCATTGGGCAAACTTCTAAATGAGTTTTTTTAAATACTGTTAAATAACAATAAAAAAATATTCTTTGCCAGATCCAAGGCCACAATAAAAATCTATTTCTACAATAGTAAAATTATTTTCACCCAACGATTTTATTAATTACAGATTAAGAAACTTTTGGTGACTTATTACAAAAAAGTACGTGCGATGAACTCTGGTTTTAAATTAAATGTAAATTTAAACTAGTGATCAACGTGGGTTTAACTTTTTTTAATAAGGGAGATAGTGTTGAAAATTAACAAGACTATAAAAACAGGAAAAAAGCATTTATAAACCAGACATGGGGAAGAAAACATAAATATTTGTCGTACAACCTAAATGACTGATGAATTTCCGTTTTGGGGTGTAATAGAAGCGAATAGAAGTGGTAGAAGTGGAAACGGAAACAATTCAAGTCACTTCTGTGGAGTATGGAAATAATGGATGCATTATTGCAATAGTTTATCATGGTATACCTACGAATCAAATTCAAATAACAAATGCGTGCATAATCATCGAACTCACTCATCGAAACTGAAAAATTTTTGGCTTTTTTTCTGAGTGAGAACAGTTTTTTCGTTTTAAATAAATACATCGAATGTATGAATAATAAAAAGCCTTTCCGTCTAACTTCTTAGTAGAAACACTTCTAAGCTGTTTCCACTTCACTTCTATTCGCTTCTATGAAACACATCCTTGAACCCGCTAACATTCATTTTCGCTTCAAAACAATAAAAACTTTGGCAAGACACGTATTCGTTCACTATCAATGACAAATCTTCATCAGACAAAATTACTTTGTTAAAAACAATTTTGTCGTATACCTCTTTATAAATAACCTATACGTCATATACCTCTATATCATATACCTCATTGTCATCCACAGCGAACGCATGAAACCTTGTGACATCACGGACGTTGCACGAAAATGAACCTTAAATCCTACACATTACGATCGCACGTAAATTCGATAGAATATCACTTCTTGCTCGCGTCACGTTTTACACATATTTTTTATGCTAACCCATTTGAGCATTCGTAGGGCGTTATCCAGTCTTTGAAAGTGTGCAAAAACAACATTAATATATTAAAATATTTAGTTAAAATTACATATTTGTGGTTTAGTGACTTTCGCATTGAAAATGTACAAAAACCTACATAAACTAACAAAAATAAGGTCAAAATCGAAACTGACGTTACATGGTATATTCATACTGTTACATGGCGATTTGTATGATTGTTACATGGCCATTATTGTAGCTTT